TCTTGTCTCTTTAATCATGTTTAAACTTTCTTAGTTAATCTAGTAGTATTTGCTGTGGTATCAAAGAAGTACTTTGCTTTAAGTAATAAATGGAAAGCAAGTTAAATTGAAATATTTTTATTTTCTTGCTGATCAGAGCAAGAAATCCGTGGGTCAAAAACCGTAATGTGATCCGAACCGTGAGATTTGTGATCCGTTGAACCACTTAGTTCAGTGTGTATATATAAGAACAAACGAACCATACGTGTGCAGTTCTTTATTTTGAACACACCTCCTCAGTGCTGATTAAGATCTGCTTTCATTTAATCAGCTATATTAAGCATCAAACAGCCTGTCGTTAGTTAACCATATTAAATATTGATAGCATCAGTAATAATTAGCACCGGCTTTGAGCTCTAGATGCTCCAGGAGCTGTCAGTCAGGATGTCATTTCCCTTTCCTGTAGTTTGGGGAATGGAGACTGCTAATGAAGTTATCTCTGATATCTTTAGATCTGCTCATGGACTAATTTAATTCCGACAATTATTGACAGGGCTTTCTTGGATGATGTGAAGTTTCAAGTCATTTAAAAGATATCACGCGTAAATCAGCTTATTATTTTGCTTGGTTTACTTTTTGTAATGAAGCACTCTTTCTCTTTATGTCCTTCTCAGCCTGGTGTGAGTCCAGTGGAGTCTGCAGGTGAGAGATTAAATAGTTTTGGGTAAAAATCATGTTGTTGATTTATTTCTAAATGTAATCAGTGGTTTTGTTCTATTTCAGCACCGGCTGCTCCTGGAACAACTGTAAGAACAAACAACCAAACGCGTTATTGTTAATATTGTTAGGATTCTGATTTAAATGACTTTCCTGTCTTGAAAACAATACTTTTTTTTTTTAAACTTTTTTTTCTTCATGGATTTTTTTTCCTCCTAGAGCACCACATCAACCGAATCTTCACCTGATGAACAGACAAAAAAGGCAAGACACAATAAACAGTTATTATCGTTCATAAAATACTATACATGCCTAAAATTACAGTACAGTTTAAAAATGTATATAATATAAAATACAGTTTGTATCTCTCAGTTTTATCCAAAGTTCTTCCAAACCTGTATGCAATTCTTTCTTCTGTTGAACACGAAAAAAGGTATTTTGAAAAATGTTTGTAACCAAACAGTTTGTGGTCCCCATTGATTTCCATAATATTTTTTATATTATTTATTTATTTTCTTAATATGGAAGTCAGTGGCTATCAGCAGCTGCTTGGTTACAATTCTTCAAAATATCTTCTTTTGCGTTCAACAGAAGCAAACTCATACAGGTTTGTATCACTTAGTTTGTCACTAATGATTTAATGAGCCAAGTGTTTTTATGATGTCTCCTGCAGAAGTCAGTATGGACTGAGCACAAATCACTGGATGGAAAAACATATTACTACAACACAGAGACCAAACAATCCACCTGGGAGAAACCAGATGAACTCAAATCACCTGCAGAGGTAAAAAAAAAGGTCAACACACCCTTCTTGCTTACACAGTCATACTTAGTCTGCCAGTTACTGTTCATTCAGGAGGTCATGACCTTTAGGCATACTCTGCATTTGCATAATGTATTACTGTTACTACTTGTTAGTAGGGGTGCTCCGATCAGGATTTTTGTGACCGATCGCCGATCACAGAAAGCAGATCTGCCGATACCAATCACCGATACCGATCTTTTTAAAGCCTTCTTTTTATAATTTATAACTTTTTATAGTGATACTCCAATCAGGATTTTTAGACATTTATTCAGGGCCTGAGTTTCATTTTTGAAAATGGGGGGAATTCCTCTCTTAGGTGACTCTTGTGAGAGGAGAAGCAGCTTACAAGCAATCCTGCGGTTCATAAAGAACTTGGTTTTCCTACCTCCACTAGTGCCATCTATTATTGCCTTGTTTATCTAAAAGTGCTCTTTCCCTTTAAACCTAGCTAAAAAGCCATATGTGTTGACTGTTAAACACAGTAGACTTTAATAATATGCATTGATGGTGTAATTACTACATTTTCATGTCAATCCATATTCATATTTACTGCAAAAAATGCGCTGCTTTAATTCAGCGCTTGCAGAGCAGCAAACATAAACTTGGTGTGGAAACGATCTCTGCACTGCTGCTGACGCACCGCTCCTGGAACGCACTGCCGGACCGCAACCGTGTGCAGTGTGAACGCTTTAATCCGTTAACATGAGCGCGGAAAAATACGCACTGCAAACGGAGTAATGTGAACCTGACGTTATGTGTGTGCGCTGCGAGTGTGCATGAGCTCTCCAGGAGAGCACGCGAGCGCTGAAAGGTTAAACACTGGCAAGAATAAAAAAGTAATGCAATGGTCCCACTTTATATTAAGTGGCCTTAGCTACTATGTACTTACATCAAAAAATAAGTACAATGTACTTATTGTGTTCATATTGTATTGCAAAACACATTTGCTGCTATTGAGGTGGGATACGGGTAAGGTTAGGGACAGGTTTAGTGGTATGGGTTGGTTTAAGGGTGGGTTAAGGTGTAAGGGATGG